GACTTTTATGGGAAACTGGCCTCCTATTCAGTCGTTATTGGCAAGGAGAAAACCCGGAAAACTCCAAGCAGCCAGCCTGTCCGATCGCGGCGCGAACCCACGACTGAACTTCCCAATGTTTAGGGTCTGGTCACCGCTATGAGCAAATTCATGCTTCTTCATCAATTCAACATTTTAAACAGTTCCTTTACAATAATGAAAGTTTTTTTAAACTGTACTGCAATGTCTTGTAAAAAGAATTATTAAAAACTAATGAAAGTAAATGAATATCGGAGAATGCTTGTTCCTTTAGAATCTACGGAAAATATAGGCTATCATCAAACCTAGACACCCCTGTCCCTGATTTAATCATCCCTATTAACTTCTACACGCTTAGACCCATCTGGACCAAATTATTCACAGTTACTCCCTTGACACCGAGAAAAATATAGCTTACCATAAAAAACCCTGTGCATCCCATCAATTCCTTTGATGTCATCCCATTGACACTGATAATTCAAATTATAAGTAAAAGCAGCACTATGCAATCAAGTATATATAAGCAAGCATTGTGTAGTAATTAATTACTAGCAGGTAGGCTCGGCGTTGCTCGGGCAAAAGTAAGGATAGTGAAGATTAAGATTATTACGTTATAGTCAACCTTACCCGTTTTCACAGAATGCAAGAATTGGGTCCTCCTGTTTCCGGACTAATTAGAGAATTTTTAGATGGGTCTAAAAATATGTTCGATTTCCCGCAAAAACGAAAAAACTGCATCTGCGTCTTGCACGTCGCTTTCTCTTAACAATTCCATTGTTAACACTTACATTGTTACTTAACGCTTTCATTGTTGATGGAAGTGTTAAGCCTTAATCCTGTCTCTCTCCCCCGTGGGGAGGAATTTCGAAAAATCCCTTCTTAGTGTGCGTTCTCCTAACGTACCCTAACTGTGTACCAAATTTCAACTTTTAACACCTAACCGTTTGGGCTCGTATCCATAATGTATGTAGAAGCCTTAATCCTGTCTCTCTCCCCCGGGGGGATTTCGAAAAATTCCTTCTTAGTGTGCATTTTCGTGACGTACCCTAAATGTGTACCGAATTTCAACTTTCAACTACTAACCGTTTGGGCTCTGCACTTATTATTATTATTATTATTATCATCAACCCGTCTCGATTATATATATAGACTAGCTGTTACCCGCGACTTCGCCCGCGGAGGTTTTGCAAGCAAACCCCATTTATATTCAGTATTTCAACAACCATAGTATATATAACACCTACCGTCGAGAATGATGAGAATTGCTGAGAATCAAACAAACAATTTTCAATTTGATCAACTTTCTAAAACGTTTACAATCGTTCTATAATCGAACCAATATGCAATAACAATAACAAATTCGAATTTAAAACGGTTCGAACATTTTTAAAATCGAAATAGATAAAAATATTTATAACAATGTCTGAAATGTTATCAATTTAATACATCTAAGTACTCAATTAAAATTAAACGTAGTTGAAAACGAAAAATCGCATATAAAAAAGTACAATAAAAGCCGTTCTTTCGGTTAAGCCTTAATGCTTTCCCTCTTCCCCCGCGGGGGAATTTCGAAAAATCCCTTCTTAGTGCGCGTTTTCATGACATACCCTAACTGTGTACCAAATTTCACCTCTTTAGGTTCAGCGGTTTGTTCTGGGCGATGATGAATCAGCCATTCAGTCAGTTAGTCAGGACAAGTAATTTTATATATTTAGATTACATAACAACAACGACAATAATAATTTAATATTGAGCTGAGATTAACAAAATTTAAAGGTGTAGAAAAGCCATCCTATTGGTAGTACAGTAGAGCCTCGATTATCTGACCGCCGATTAACCGACCGTCCTAGTCGGCAAATTTCAAATGCCCGCTAGTGATGTAGCGCTACAATATTTGGCTATGTCTTGGCTACTTTAATATTATTTTTACGTGTTTTAGCTGGCAACACTCATTCGACCATGAAAGGGAGCCAGTATTTAAACGAGGCTTAATTTTCTAATTTTTAACGATACAATAGCGACGATTATTATTAAAAAAATTTTTGTTAGGCTTAACATCGATGAAAATTCAACGCAATGTAGGTTAATAGCGATATACTAATATACTAATATACTAATTACATGGGATATAATAATATACTACACTAATAATGGATTTTTTCATACTTTTCGGTTATCCGCCCTTTCAATTTTCCGACCAACCCCAGTCCCCAATTAGGTCGGATAATCGAGGCTCTACTGTAAATTGAAATACTAGACGATCATTTTTGGATGGTGATTTTGTCCGTTTGCGTACGTCCTGGATAAAAACAGGGACCTTAATTTAATGGTAAACAGCAATTTTCAAAGACCATATAATTTTTAAAATATATGCTCTCCACCTCAAATTAGTAGTGGCTTTCCCCTGTACATCATACTTTTCTTTTAACAATAGAGTCGTGCCTGTCATCTAACCCTTTTCAGGGGTCTCCTGCCCTTAAGGTTTCCATATATTCACTTTCATCTAACTCCATTTTCGAGATTAAGGAAAGATAGACGGATAAACAGAGAACAGTGAGAATTTATAGATCTACAATTTTTTCAAATTGCAGTTTAATAAATAAATAAAATAAAATAAAATAAAGAATTAGCGGATAAAATTAATAATTTAAACACCAAATATACTATTTAATTATTTTAAGATATATATTAGGGGTGTATTAACAAAAAGTATTGCTAGTACATCACTGCGATGAAAGACGAAATAAAATGTTTTTTGAGCATTTGCAATAAAATTAAATTAAATAGAGAAAAGTTAAGAAAATAAAGTAAGAAGTTTAAGTAATTTATATATATAGCAACAGAATAAAATGTACTGTATTTAACGGTGATTCTGAACTTGTTTTTATATGGCATGCTAAAATTGTAGTAATTCGATTTCTGATGTTTACGTGTATCCACTTCAGATTTATATTACTTCTTATGAGACTGCAAATTTCTTAAAATATAAATTACTTTCAACAAATTCAATTATAAACGTACTTGTTTTATTTATTTTTCGACTCCTTAAATCTCATATTAATTAAACACATCAATATCTAATTTTCATCAAATATTATTGAGTTTGAGATAAAATTCAATTGAGTGAGCAGAATCAAAATGAGAAAAAATGCTAGGAAATACATATTGGTCTGGTTTAATAGAATCGTTTAGCGGTTTATTATTTATTTATTTATTTATTATTTAAATTATATAAACATAAGAAAGTAGATATTTTTATTAAGATTAGACTTAGGCTGTATATACTTACAAGAATTTTTAAAAATTAGATGATTGACCAGAACTTTGAATTTTTATTGAAAAAGCAAATGTTTATCAAAGCGGATAATGGTTGACATTGAAAATGTACATTTGACATCTTAAAACCGTCAAATAATTTAACAAAGAAAATCTTATTATAGCACAACAGATTTATGTCTTGGAACTATTCTGAATACAGCGTCATTAATCCTTCTGTCCAGAAGTCCTATATAAAGCTGGTCTCATTCGACACTCAACATCAGTTCGCCATGAAGAAAGAACAGTGTATCGTTTCTTCCAGATATTTCGCCATGTTTGTAATTTGGGTATTTCTAGCATCTGTTTCTTACTTCAGAATAGTCGAAGCAGTCGATTTCGAAGAAGTACGACCAGAATTATTATCTGTGGATTCCATCAAAATGGAATCTGAACCAAATCTAGATTTCATCTTACCACGCGATAGAAGACAGCAATCTGATAATGGAAGACGAATCGATGTATTCGTAGCAAGTCGAGGCAAAAGAGGAGAATATGAAAACACCAATTCGCAACAGACTTCAACTTCTTCGATTGGACTAATTTTCGTGGCACCTCGAGGTAGAAGATCGGAATCTAATCTCGAATTGCCGATAGGTTTCGTCGCGACTCGTGGAAGAAAATGACAAGCTTAAAATTAGATGATTTATTCAAAATTTTACGTTCGGTTGTAAACTAAATTGCATTATGGAAATATACCAATAAAGATTTCATAAGATTGATGAAATTAATGTGTACATTCTTAATTACTGATTGGATAGAAAGATAAAATACATCGGACTTTCAACAGACAGTTTAATCAATTGCCGGTTTAATTATTCAATATTATTGAATCTGAAATTTATACAATATTAGAACATGAAAGGACTCTTCACCAAAAAAGAATATTTTAATAATTTATATATTTTTAGAATATTATATTAAAATTATTTCACTTAATCGAACAAGATTTTGGCTGAAGCAGTTTTATTTCACACACAAACTTTAATGTTATATTTTGTCGGAATAGTGATATCATTTTAATATGATATGCTATAAATAATAAGTTGACTATACCAGCATCCCCAGAAAATAATTCTTATGTTTCTTAGGTTTTAGGTATAGCTCATGTATTTAATTTATATCTCAAAATTATTATAATACAGTAGAGTCCATATGGCATAGTGGGCATAGTTTAATCGGTAAAGGACAAAAAAAGGGCTTTTTTAGTGTCCAAAGGGCGGCAAGAGACAAAAAAGAAAATTAATTGTTAAACAGCATGCTGTTTTCTAATAATTATTTTAAATGCAATATTTTCTTATCTTGTAATTTTTTATATACTTGGTTCCAGCGACATATTGCTTACTAGAAAAGTGAGATTTGCTCTACTGCTAGTCTTCGTTTAGTTAGAATGAAATAAGCCCACTAGTTTTCCTTATGTGTCTTTCCTGCTTTCTTGTATATAGATGGAAAAAATTACATTGTCACAATAATAGTATTTATTTGTTGTTGTACATACAATTGAGAAAAAGCTTGTTAATTATACATTTTTATGAAAGACGAAATGAACTGACAAGTGAGACGTTGCTTCTAGATATCAGATTAATTGGATTCTTTTAATACAATAAAGTAACAAGTTTAAATAATATATGTATAGTAACAAGGTAAATCTATCGTATCTAAGAACTCTTTACAACTTACGCAAAATTTCAATAATTTAATTCTCGATGTTTACGTATGTCTACTTCAGATTTGCATTACTTCTAATGAAGTTTCCATTCTCTCGAGTAACAAATTATTTTTAAACAACATGCACTTCTAAATTTATTTCTTTTTTAATTTTCTCTCTCTTAAAATGTTGATATCTTTCTTGAAATGCATTAATATCTAAGTTTTTATGTGTGATTCAGGCGAATATTGTATATGATTGAATTCACAAAGGTATAAAAAGAGGCTTAAAAGTGATAGACAGGCTATATAAATCACTTAAACTCGTTATTTTAAATCCGAAATGGCAATCGCATCCGTTTTATCAGAGTTCTCTGTTATCCGCGGTAACATCGATTCACATTACCTTGGTTAATCGGGTTCTATGTATATAACACTCTGACAAAATAGAATAACAAAAATCAAATTAATTCTTGTTAATTATTAATGCATAATTAGCTTTTATTAATAATGGGAAATTACAACAATGCTGGATAAAAGCATAGAACAGAACTGATAGTCCATATATTACTAAGGATTATCTTGTCATGTATTGTACGTCACTAATTTTCTTCTTTTTATGACGATCATTGTATTCTCCCAATCTCCAAATTAATTATGTTACGATATTTACGAAAGGTATTAGATAATAACATGATAGAGAAGGGATAGGTTATAATTGAATTCTGTCGTTTTAATAAGAAAAAAGACTATAATTCTAGTTTTTTTATAATGACTTTTTAATAAAAATAATTTTAACAATTTACTTTACAACTGTAATTAAATAAGCTAAAATACAAAAATTATAAGATAAAAATTATAAAAAAATTATTAACTAACGAATAGATGATCCGATGATTAATTCTTATTGAAAAAGTAAATGTTATCAAAGTGAATAATAGTAGACATTGAAAGTGTACATTTGACATCTTAAAACCGTCAAATAACCTAACGAAGAAAATCTTATTATAGCACAACAGATTTATGTCTTGGAACTATTCTGAATACAGCGTCATTAATCCTTCTGTCCAGAAATCCTATATAAAGCTGGTCTCATTCGACACTCAACATCAGTTCACCATGAGGAAAGAACAGTGTATCGTTTCTTCCAGATATTTCGCCATGTTTGCCATTTGGGTATTTCTAGCATCTGTTTCTTACTTCAGAATAGTCGAAGCAGTCGATTTCCAAGAAGTACGACCAGAATTGTTATCTGTCAATTTCATCAAAATGGAATCTGAACCAAATCTAGATTTCATTTTGCCACGCGATAGAAGACAGAAATCTGATAATGAAAGACGAATCGATGTATTCGTAGCAAGTCGAGGCAAAAGAGGAGAATATGAAAACACCAATTCGCAACAGACTTCAACTTCTTCGATTGGACTAATTTTCGTGGCACCTCGAGGTAGAAGATCGGAATCTAATCTCGTAATCTAATCTTGCAAGTAGGATTTGTTGCAACTCGGGGATGAAAGTCAATTTAAACTTGAAATTAAACGACTAAAATTTTATATTTTGACTAGAAACTGAACTGTATTATGAAAATATGTCAATAATAAATATTTGGCATTTATGAAATTAGTTCGTATGTGTATTTAATAATCATTTAATACATCAAATTTAGACATTTTATTGGATGTTTAAAAACAGTTAGAAAAATATAAAATGAATACAATTATATACTTTGGCTAGGCATTGTATAGAATTCCAGTCTTTCTACTGGCAAAGAATAAAATTAATAGTATATACGTTTTCACATCATGTAATTTATATACCATTTTTATAAATGTTCCTTAAAATATTTTCAGTTAGAAACAAAAATTTAAAAATTAACGGTTTCAAACTAATCAGTTGTTAGGTTCAGCATCTTTTTGAAACAACATACAAAAATTTCATCAACTGGCAACCAAACAAGGTGTTTTGAAACAGCTATATTCAAGGTCGTAGTTCACAGTGTGTAAAAAAGATTCTTCTTATGCCAATTAATGTACCCAAGGATAAAAAGATGTCTTTCAGATCATCAGCAACTGAGCAATCAGCAGGTATTGCGCAAGAATTTGTGAAGTACATATGCAAAAATATATGCCAGAACCTAAAGTGTCTTTGCCTAAAAAATTACAACATTTTATAAAACTCTTAAGTATTTTTGGAAATAGTTAAATAAAATAAACCTTTTTCTCTTACAAATTGCTAAATACATCTAGGCATTCTATAAAATGCATAAATTTCATACATTGCAGGTAACATATATATACTAGACCTAGATATTGAAGTGTCGCAGTGTAATTTATGCCTCTTGATTTGACTAATTGTAAAATTAAAAGTAATTCCATAGTAAATAGTATTAAAATAATAAAATAATAACATTGTCAACTCTCCAATTTTACTTCCTAGCTATTACATAATAGAGGGAAAGTATGACGAGTGGTCAAAAAATGACGTACCAAAATTTGGACTCAGGAGACCTTAAAACGAGAAGTGAAAAAAGTTGTGCCTTTTGTTGGAACTTCTGAAATTTTGTAGAGATTTCTCCATTAGAGGGGAAATGTTTCTAAAAAATGTCAGGAAAATTGGACCATTAGTTCGAGAGATATTAAGGAGGCGGAGGCCATATCTCAAGAAGATTCCAAGTTATAAAATTTTTTACTCGTACAAATTTTTAGTTTACTAAATAAACTCACTTTTAATTTTTAAAACTGCTAATATCTTTCTTAAACATAGATATTTTTCGCCGGGAAAGTTACGCAACTCGTTGCTGGATTTTTGTAAATACCCTGTAGTACGTTACTATACAAAACTAGGTAAGTCAGGTCAATGGACAAAATTGCAACTTTGTATGCTGCTATTCATTGTTTACAAAATTTAAAAACAAACAAACAGAGATATATTTCTGTAACGTAATATACTAATTAACAAATTGTGCAGTCAGTCAATTATTTTACATAATTATTTCGTACTTTATTTAATTTTTATATTATTTAAGTATACAACTGAGTAAATACAGCATGGCTTTATTTTTATTTTATATACATATTTTTCTGTCCAAATTTCTTGGCTTTCAAAAAAATCTTGGCTGTCGCTTCTCAGTTTCCTGTTTCATGAGCATTTGAGATTAACTTAATGTGAAAAGCAATTTTGTATTGATTTCATACCATCAAACTATAATAAATGCCTTTCTTTATATTTATAAATTTTGTTTTAATTTTCTTAAATACCTTATTAGTGACAATTCAAAGTATACGATAATCTTTTTATATTCAGATTTTCTGACAGTTTTCTATAAACGTGCCACATTATACAGGGTATTCGTGAAAAAATGTTGGAGATTCATAGATGTGTACTTTCTGTATTTCTTACCTCATATAATTAAGACTTATTTCAATTGTAAAGATTTGTTATGCGTCATTCAAAGTCCTAAGAGTGCATCTTTAGTCATCCGGCAGGCATTCAAGCGGTTGTCGAACTTCTTCCAGGCACGAGCGAGCATATCTGATGTGATGGCCTCCACATCATGGGTAATCAGTTTCGGAGATCCCAGAGGATTCGGAGCATTAAAATACTTAACTCTATAGGTCTACTTTCCTATATTCTTTAACATAAATAATTCCATGTTTATTGCATTAATTAGACAAAAATGTTAAATTTTTTTGTATGTAATAGGCCTAACTGTATCTGATCTATAAGGTGAGAAAGAAAATCACTTAACATCCCTGCTACAGAATATAAAACGCACCCAACGTTAATTTGCTCATGTCAGGAAGATATTAAACCAAGGGAGAAACAGATTGTTGTGCGTTACAATCATGGCCGTCATTAACATGGCGGCCATATTGAATGCAATTCTGAAACTGTAAGTGAAAAGGGGCATGTGACACATCATTTAGGATTAGAATTGCATAAGAAATTGATTGCTTTTATTGACCTATCTTGAACGGTTACAGAGTTATGCACGTTACATGATATGCTCAATGTACAGTACAGTAGGCATACAGTACATTCTTTGGGTACATTCTATATTCTGTATTAAGTGACTTTCTTTCTCACCCTGTACTTCTGTAATTGGTTTCTCATATCAAAATTATTAATCTGCATTATTGCCAATATACAGTGCTCGCTCAAAGGTAACTTGCATCTGTGGAGAAACAAATTTTTGTCGCCCTAGCTTAAAGAACGGTTGCCAATAGAGCACTAACGCGCTGTCACTCTTTTATGAACTATTTTTAAACAACTTTAAAGTCTATTTACAGGACTTTATTGTATTCAGCTTGTTATTTTTAATATTTATTTAATTTTCTTCGTTTTTAATATTTTTGACTGGATTATTGCCGGCCTCTCATTTTATCGCTTGAGGAGTCACCTACTACAATTCCTGTCTTCGACAATCAATACGTAAATTATATATTTTTAAAGAATAAAAGTAAATAGTAGGCTTATATAATTAATTGTTACTTAAAAACTCTGTCTAAAAGTTATAGTTTTTTCTTTTAACATTTTTTGGATAAAGTTTTTAAATCTTAGACAGTTGTCTATGTCTTAATTCTTCTAATCAAATATAAAATTAAAAGAACTAATTATCTTAAATGCAAAATATTTATTAATATTTTTAACGGTACAATTTAATTTTTACTTTAGCATAAAAATCTTTAAAGAATTATCTTTTTCGAGTCCAAATATTGCTTTTCATCCGCGTGTTGCAACGAAACCTATTGGCAATTCGACGTTGGAATCTGATCTTCTACCTCTAGGTGCTACAAAAATGAGTCCTATGGAAGAAGTTGAAGTCTTTTGTGAATCTTTATCAGCATATTCTCCTCTTTTGCCTCGACTTGCTACAAATACATCGATTCGTCTTCCATTATCAGATTGCTGTCTTCTATTGCGCGGCAAAACGAAATCTAGATTTGGTTCAGATTCCATTTTGTTGGAATCCACAGATAATAATTCTGGTCGTACTTCTTGGAATTCGACTGCTTCGACTATTCTGAAGTAATAATACGATGCCAGAAATGCCCAAATTACAAACATGGCGAAATATCTGGAAGAAACGGTACACTCTTCTTTCCTCATGGTGAACTGATGTTAAGTATCGAATGAGACAAGCTTTATATAGGATTCCTGGACAGGAATAATGACGATGTATCCAAGAAAATTTCTAGCCATAAATTTGTAAGGCTATAATAAGATTTCCTTTGTCTGATTACTTGACAGTTTCAAGGTGTTTAATGTATGATATTTACAATGACTATGGTTATTTAATTTGAAAACGATTCACGTTTTCTGTTAATTCGAGCTGTTATGTTGTAAATTTTGTGTTAAGTAGATTAAAGTTATTTTTCTACTAGAAATCTATTATCAAATTAGATATAAATAGCTAAAAATGAGAGCTATAAACACATTACTACAATTTATTTAGTACATCTGAAAGAAAATTCAACACCAATCAGCTGTATTTTAAAGAAAATGGAAGGAAAAATTTTTTTCTTAAAATCGCTAATACAGATCTTAAAATGACAATAAAATTTTAAATTTTTATACAAATAAAATTGGAACTTGTGTAACTATTTTTGGAACAATTATAACAAATTAATAATCGAGATACTTAAGTTTAAATGAATATTTACTACCTTTTATTCATGTTAATTTTGCCTTAAAAAGTCGGTAAACACGAAGTTCTGCAGTATAAACACTACTAGTGAACAGTAATTTCGACGTAAGTAATGTAAACATACTAACTAATCTGTAAACATGGTCTTTCATCTCTTTGTACAAAAGTAGCAAGTTTCTTCTATGCATTTTCTTACGACTAAATAAAAGTGTTTTTTTTAGGTTACAGAATTTTTCTTTTCTTAAAAAAATAAAAGAACTTGAACAACTTCGACGTTATTATTAAGATGCTAATTAAAATCGGCACCTTTGACATTAATTTTTAATATAAAAAAAAGACATGATAATTAATTAATTTAAGGCTCCTGACAAATCAATTTTAGGCGAGGCTTTAAGCGATAAAGTAAATTATAAAATAAGTGATTTTTTTTATTATTATTTTAAAAAACTTAAGAGTTAAACTAGATAAAAAATTTTGAAATAAAACAAAATTAGATTAAAGAAAATGCCTCTAGATTTTAGTAAAGGTGTTGTTTTTTTTTATCGTTAACAATAAAAAAATCAGTGTTTTTATATCCATCAATATCTTTAATTAATTAATTAAAATATAAAATAAAAGTTGTAAAACTGCTAAATTAAATTACTTATTTTATTAATAATGCTTTTTTTTATTTTAAGTATTTTGTTTTTTATCAAGAGTACTTGAAAACAATTTTATGTAGAGATATTATTAAACGGTTCTTCATAATTAAATACCAAGATCTTAGAGAAGTAAGGTAGGACCTGGGACAGTTATAAATAAGCTGTCTCGTGCTTTTCGAACTGATAAAAATTACTTTGTCATTTTCATGTAGTATTTTTTACATACGAAACTAATTTTTGCGCTTTTTTTGTTTCTGGAACCAAAGCTGAAATAACCCT